CATTTTCCTGCACAACAGGCTAGAAAGATCGGAGCAGTGATAACCAAGGAATGAGAAGATACTGATCTAGACACGCAAACTTCCCTAGGGAAGCTAGGGCCTGATCCGGAGAGTGGTAAGCAAATGCAGCGCCTACTGACTTCCAGGGGAGATGCAGCTACTCATCACCTCTCAGGATCAGGTCCTTCATTTCCATCATAGGATAGGGAGGATAGAAATGTCCTTTTTCCTATCCTTCCAGTCCTGCTCTGCCCCTCTCCACATGTGTGATCTGCATCAGGAGATGCTCAGAACTAAGGGGTGCTCATTAATCAGTTTATATGTCGAATCAGATCAGAACGTTGCCTTGTATTGAGCCTCACTGGTCTTGACAAAGACAGTTTTCACTTGTATGTGTAAGGCTGAGTCCTGAGGGACAAACAGCTGGCAACAGGGATGAGTTGTTGAGACAAGTTAGATTGGGGGTGACTCAGGAGACTAGCAAGGCTTAGCATTGTTTCTGAAAATGTGTCTAAAGACTAGATTATAAAGTTACGCGCCAGCTCCCAAGCCTCATGTCTGTTGGGGTCGGGGAGTCGGGTCTGACATGCGGATTAATTCCTTTCCAATTAAAAGTTTCCATTCTGAATGCACTTACTGCTAGCTTGACAGCCCTGGAGTTTGAAGTCCTCTAGTTATCCCCAGAACATTTACAACAGGAGGAGTGATCGTGCCAGCTTCCTCCATCGCCATGCCTCAACCTTGCCCAGGAGGAGAGACCATTTCTAGGAGTCAGATGACCATGCACCCTCCATGGACCATGCAGTTGTTGGTCACTGTGTTGAGAATGCTGAGAAAGGGGACCAGCTATTGTCCATTATGTTGGGAATATCTGGGCACTGGAAAGGGGGGGGGTAAAGACACCAAGAATGTTTCACAGAGGTCACCAAACAGGCAGCAGCTGCTTTTGATCATTACCAACCCAGGCTGGATTCAGCCAAAGGTGGTGGTTGTGTGTGTGTGTGTGTGTGTGTCTTCAACACACTATTTTACATGTAAAAGAGAGGATGTGACTTAATATACTTCAGAGTAATATTCATGCATGAAACTGTAATGTGGCCAACGCCTTTATTCTAAGTTGTGGGTTGCAATAGCAGTGGCTGAGCTTCCAAAAGGGGACAGAGGTTTAGATGAGCATCCAAAAGTTTGGCTGACACTACTGAAACTGTAAGCTCCTTGGGGCAGGGACTGTCTCTTTATTCTAGGTTTGTACAACGCCTTGCCAAAGGGCACTGGTTAATGACTGGGATTTTAGGCGGCCCAGTAATACAAATAATGAAGAATAATCTAGACATTTTGGATTTACACAGCTGAGTCTGGAAATCACACAAGAACGGCTTCTCTCTGAGTATTTAGCACTTCTAGCTGCAGTGCACAGGGTTGTATGAAAGAGACCGAATAAGGATGGGAAAGTTCATCCAAACCCAACTGGAACGGAGGTGGACCTGGGGGGAGTTCTGCTCCCTTGACTCTGGTAGAAGAGGGACATTTCTCCCTCGGCTTTTAGCTGTGTATCCCCACACCTCCCTTATTGTAACCCTTGCCCATCCCTAGCTTGGAGTGGGAAGGCAGATTGCACTCTAAAATCAATATGAATAATTGGCTCTTCGGAGCCCAACTGGTCAGAGTGGTCCCTGTTAAGCTGAGCAGGCTTCCTGCACAACCCCTTACTGCCACTGACGCAGGTAGCAGGGGACTGGATGGAATCTAAACAGTTGTACAGATAAGAGCACTAACCACTAGATACCTGGGGCAGCTAATATGCATTCAGCAATAGGATTCATTTGGCCTAATCTGTCATCATCATGTGGCCAGATTAGTGTGACCAACTTTGTAAATCCTTTTCCTGACACTTCAATCAGTTGACGCCAGGAGGCATCTAAAGCCAGCCCTGAACATGAGTGTTTGTGGATCAGGACTCGCAGTGCAGCAGATTTCCTAGCAGACTGTGTCAGTCTGAAGTCAGAGACATGGTAAAGCTGGTGCATTAGATCCCCCAGCTCTGCCACCTAAACCCTGTGATGGGGTGGGGGTTGATTTCAGGCCTTTTATCCACCTCTTCCAGTGTAAATACAAATCCTTGGAAATTCTTCCTCTGCACAGGACACCAAGTAGTAGAAACTACTACTGAGGGATAGCTCAGTGGTTTGAGCATTGCCCTGCTAAACCCAGGGTTATAAATTCAATCCTTGAGGGGGCCATTTGGGGATTGAGTTGGGGATTGGTCCTGCTTTGAGCAGGGGATTGGACTAGATGACCTCCTGAGGTCCCTTCCAGCCCTCATCTTCTATGACCCATACAGATGGGCATTCTATCAGCCACTTCCCATTGATTATTAATATGCACCAGACAGGAATCAAATCCTGACTCTCCTTGAACCCAACTGTAACTCCCTAGGCAAACTGCAGGAGCCCTTCTTCTGGGTGCAGTTACTGAGACTTGTTTTTTATGAGCTGGGATTTTCCGCTTCTTTGCCCGGTGCAGTCTGTGGTACCTCTCGTGAGTCATAAACTTCAACAGAAATTTATAGAGCCAGACAAGGCCTTTCAAACACATTGTTACCAATAAAACTGGTCAGGACTCACTGCCTAACAAACGCTGTGCCAGAGAGAGAGAAGGGGATGTGAAGAAGAAGAAGAAAAGCAGGACCATTCTTCTCTATGGGCTTAAAGCTGCAGTAGAATAGGGGGATAGCAGTGAAATGTTTGGTTCAAGCCAGCTGTGATCCAGGTGCTGGCCCTATCACTCCCAACAGTCTTGTCTCTGTCTGGGCTGACTCGAGGGTTGACACTTTGAAAAACTCTTTTGCCCTCAGGACAAAGTCACATCAGGAAATGGCTCAGATTGTATCTATGAGCAGCTTGGGCCTAGAGATTGTTTTGGGGTAGGGTGGTCAACTCTCTCATTTGTGAAAACCAGACACTGAGCACTGGAACCTCTCCCGCCCTCCTGCTCTGCCTCTTCCCCAGAGGCCCTGCCCCTAACTCCACCTCTTTCCCTCGAGGCCCCACCCCTGCTCCTCTTCCTCCCGCCCCCATCACTCACTGCTCTCTCCACCACCATCCCACTGCCAGCTGAGCAGGGCTCTAGAGGTGACTGGGACAGGACATTGGAGAGAGAGCTGGGCTCCAGGGGTGAGTAACTGGGACAAGACAGGGGAGGGAGAGCCGCGGTTGGGGCAGGACGCGGGAGCCACCAGTATCTCCCTCCACCTGAGCCTTTCCTGAGTGCTCCTCCAGGCTCCAGCAGCAGCTGCTGCTCTTCCTGCCCCCTGGTGGCAGAGGCCAGTTACTGTAGCCAGCCCAACTTTTAGTGTCTGGTCAGCAGTGCTGACCGGACCTGGCCAGGTTCCCTTTTCGACTGGACTCTCCGATCGAAAACCAGACACCTGGCAACCCTATTTTGGGGAGTGGGAAGCTGACAACACCAAGATCTCAGCTTTCTGATTACCATGGGGGCCCTCAACATATCAGATTGAAACTGCCCACTTGTGTGTCCACAGCCCCAGCAAGCCTGTCTTTCTGCGTTATTTGTAATGCACTCAGTGCTGTAGTGTCGAAAGTCCAAGAAGCACGTGTCCTAGTGTAATCGAACTGGGAAATTCTAGGATTGTTGCTGGAAATGAGACCTCTCAGTGTCTAACTGACCTGCACACAGGTGACAGCGGGGTGAGAACTTGTGACCTGCTGCTCCTAAAATGGAGGCCTTTACCCTTGCTAGCCATGCATATAATACAATAGCTGCACACGGTGCTATGTAATAGGTATGCTGTGCCAAACATACGGGTCCCACAGAGTATTCCAGCTTTATGACGTGCCTCCCAGGGCTCCTAACAAATTCAGAGACGAGGAGGGTGGACCTGATTCACTACTGCGCTATTCTAGTTTTACACTGGTGTAACTCCATTAACTTCAATGGGATTACTCCTGATTTACACCAGGGAAAGCTAGCTCAGAATCAGGCCCCTTGTTTCTATGCTTTGTATTTACTTGACTGTCCCTCTAGCCCAGGGGTGGCCAACCTGAGCCTGAGAAGGAGCCAGAATTTACCAATGTACATTGCCAAAGAGCCACAGTAATACGGCAGCAGCCCCCCATCAGCTCCCCCCCTGCTCCCAGAACCTCCCACCCACCGGCAGCCCCACCAATGAGCGCCTCCCCATCCCTCCCTGCACCTCCCGATCAGCTGTTTCGTGGCATGCAGGGGGCTCTGGGGGGAGAGGGGGAGGAGCAAGGGCATGGCAGGCTTAGGGGAGGGAGCAGGAAGGGGTGGAGTGGGGGCAGGGCCTGTGGCAGAGCCTGTGGCAGAGGCAGGGGTTGAGCAGTGAGCACCCCCCGGCACATTGGAAAGTTGGCGCCTGTAGCTCCAGCCCCGGAGTCGGTGCCTATATAAGGAGCCGTATATTAACTTCTGAAGAGCCGCATGTGGCTCCGGAGCCCCAGGCTGGCCACCCCTGCACTAGCCATTGATTATCTTAATCTGCAACCATAAAAATATAGCTGGATGTCTGACACAGTCATAGCTAATATAGCTCTCCTGCAAAGCAGCCCCCAGGTCTGTCACTGGAAGCCCTAGGTGATGGACGGATCTGATCTTCCCCCCTTACTTCCAAATGCTCCTGAGAATCCTTTGCATGGGGCTGCCCTGGCTGCTAATGCAAAGGAATAAAGGATTCTGGAGTGGATGGGTGCAGGTGGGGATCTCACTATGGGGTACAAGATGACCCTGGTATATTTCAAACAAACAAACAAACAAAGAGGGATAGAAGGGCTCATTTAGTCCAGTGAAGCACTTTACCAATTCTACTGCCCCCCACCTCCTGGTGTGGCTCTAGGTGATTGCCTGTGTTATCTGTTCCTAATGCTGGTGACATCGGGACAGGGCAGCCTTACTGATGCACCTGGGACATCTGCACGTCAATCGCTGGAGAGTGAGTGAGGCTATGGCCTTGACTGACTTACGAGAACGTTGAAGTTGTCCTGTTGGTTGTACAAGTGTCTGTTGCAGCTCAGGCAGTCCCTCTGACAGTCGCCGAGCACGTGGGCAAACAAGCACAGCAGCAAGAGATCCCACAGCAGAGCCCCCATGGTGGCAGTTGCAAGACCTAGGGAACAGAGAAACAAAGGGTATGTCTACACTACGGGATTAATCCGAATTTAGATAATTCGAATTTGGGAAACAGGTTGTATAAATTCGATTGTGCGCGGCCACACTAAGCACATTAATTCGATTTTTAACCACATTAATTCGGTGGTGTGCGGCCACACTACCCCATTAATTTAAACACAGTAATTTGGTGGTGTGCGGCCACACTAACCCTAATTCGAATTAACAAAATCGATTTAGGCACTACTCCGCTCGTCGAGGTGGAGTACAGAAATCGATTTTAAGTGCCCTTTAATTCGAATTAACTGGCTCTGTAGTGTGGACGGGTGAAGGGTTAATTTGGATTAACGCAGCTAAATCCGAATTAAAGTCGTAGTGTAGACCAGGCCAAAGACAAGTAGCTCATTGAAGAGATCACTCCCGGTCTGTTAGAAAGAGAAATTCTCCCATTGCTGAGTCACCAGAGCGGTAAAACCTCTTAAGCAACCAGATTATTTCCCCAGTACACTAACAAGATGCATGTGGTCTGACTGGTCAGTAACTGCCAGGATCACGCTTTCATTTTTGGAAACAGATACTGCATTTGCTTTTGCCCCGGTCAGTTGGTGCTTCCCCAAACTGTTCATGGTTTTACAAAACTAATGGTCAGGACTCCACTGTTCCATTACCAACTCTGCCACTGATTCCCTGTGTGACCCTGGGTGAATCATTTAACTTCTTCAGGTCAGTTACCCATCATTAAATTGCAGGCCGCGTCGCTCCACAGGGGCAGTGTGAGACTTAATTCTTTGTAAGGCACTTTAAGATCATGGAACAAAAGGTGCAAATAGTCAAAGTAAACTGTTGATAAAGAGCCTCTGGTCTGAAAATGTATCTGTCGAAACTGTTCAGCAAATGTGAGTAATGAATACATTCACAGGCAATCAAATTTGGGTTCCAAACAATTTGCTAATTTAAAGAGCAGCTAAATCCATAACAAACAGTATTACTCATAATACTCCATGAGCTCTTAGTGACACATGTAAGGGAGATATTGTCGAACATATGGAACCAAATTCTGCTGTCAGACACATTCATACAATTCACATTGTCTTCAGTGATAGATGTGCTTGTCTGGTATGTTAATTTTGTATTTGAGATGGTGCTGGAGGAAAACTCCATATCAGTGAGCTAAAGTGGGCCAAGTTGTACTGTCACTCCTACATTAAAATCAATGGTTGCAACTCTGCCCTTCTTTGAGGCACTCTTCAAACCCAAAGCAAGCTCAGTTAAGCTTCAGTGTAACTGAAACAGATTTAAAAGTTAATTCCGTGTTGATGAAGGATTGGCTGCCGGAGATGGAATTTGCCTAGACAGCAGAGGTATCCAGAAGTGAAGTTTACCTCAACCCTGGAGTGATCACCCATAGGCGGTGAGGGGAAGTAAGTTTTTGGGTACGTCTTCACTTACATCCGGGTCCGGATGTAAGCAATCGGTTTTCTGAGTTCGATTTATCGCGTCTGGTTAAGACGCGATAAATCGATCCCGGATCGATCCCGGAAGTGCCCCGGATCGATCCCGGAAGTGCTCGCCGTCGACGCTGGTACTCCAGCTCGGCGAGCGGAGTACGCAGCATCGACGGGGGAGCCTTCCTGCCGCGTCTGGACCGCGGTAACTTCGGACTAAGGTACTTCGAATTCAGCTACGTTAGTAACGTAGCTGAATTTGCGTACCTTAGTCCGCAGTGGGGGGGTTAGTGTAGACCAGGCCTTTGTTTCTGAGCTGAGGCTGCCAGCCAAGGCAGCTGATTTAAAGCCAATTAGGGAGGTGGTTTGTGGGATGTGGATCCTGGCTGCTAGGAGCTGGGCAGAGCTCGCCTCCCATCTGAGCTAGTAATCTAGAAGTGAAGGTGTTTGCATCTCATTCCCAGTCCTTGGAGACATCCTCTTCTCCAACTTCAGCTAGTGTGTATTCACTTCACTTCTCTCCGCCTCTCTAGTCTCTCTCTATCGCCAACACAACTAGAATACAAGTTACTCTTCTATCTAAGCTTCCATAGCCTTTGTCATTGACAATATGACAACCCAAGCCTTCTCCCCAGGTTTGGTTGGCTCTAAGGCTCTTCCTGAAGGACCTTTTTACCTCAGATCCTAATTTCCTGTCCCACTCCACAGGTGCCAAAACCAGTTAGCAGGAATCAGTCAGCAGTTGCTGAGAATGTGAACATAAGAACGGCCATACAGAGTCAGACCAATGGTTCATCTAGCCCAGTATCCTGTCTTCCAACAGTGGCCAATGCCAGGTGCCCCAGAGGGAATGAACAGAACAGGTAACCATCAAGTGATCCATCCCCTGTCGCCCATTCCCAGCTTCTGGCAAACAGAGGCTAGAGACACCATCCCTGCCCATCCTGACTAATAGCCATTGATGGACCTATCCTTCATGAATTAATCTAGTTCTTTTTTGAACCTGTTATAGTTTTGGCCTTCACAACATCCCCTGGCAATGAGTTCCATAGGTTGATTGTGCATTGTGTGAAGAAATACTTCCTTTTGTTTGTTTTAAATCTGCTGCCATTAATTTCATTGGATGACCCCCTGGTTCTTGTGTTATGAGAAGGAGTAAATAACACTTCCTTATTTACTTTCTCCACACCAGTCATGATTTTATAGACCTCTATCAGATCCTCCTTAGTCATCTCTTTTCCAAGCTGAAAATTCCCATTCTTATTAATCTCTCCTCCTATGGAAGCTGTTCCATACCCCTAATCATTTTTGTTGTCCTTTTCTGAACCTTTTCCAATTTCAATATATCTTTTTTGAGATGGGGTGACCACATCTGCATGCAGTATTCAAGATGTGGGCGTACCATGGGTTTATATAGAGGCAATATAATATTTTCTGTCTTATTATCGATCCCTTTCCTAATGATTCCCAACATGCTGTTGGCTTCTGTGACTGCCGCTGCACATTGAGTGGATGTTTTCAGAGAACTATCCGCAATGACTCCAAGATCTCTTTCTTGAGTGGTAACATCTAATTTAGATCCCATCATTTTATATGTATAGTTGGGATTATGCTTTCCAATGTGCATTACTTTACATGTATCAACACTGGATTTCATCTGCCATTTTGTTGCCCGGTCACCCAGTTTTGTGAGAAAGGGATCTTTGCAGTCTGCTTGGGACTTAACTCTCTTGATTAGTTTTGTATCATCTGCAAATTTTGTCACTTCACTAGTGTTTACCCCGTTTTCCAGATCATTTATGAACATGGTGAAAAGTACTGTTTCCAGTACAGGTCCCAGTTCAGACTCCTGGGGGACACCACTATTTACATCTCTCCATTCTGAAAACTGATAATTTATTCCTACCCTTTGTTTCCTATCTTTTAACTGGTTACTGATCCATGAGAGGACCTTCCTTCCTATCCCATGACAGCTTACTTTGCTTAAGAGCCTTTGGTGAAGGACCTTATCAAAGGCTTTCTGAAAATCTAAGTACACTATGTCCACTGGATCACCCTTATCCACATGCTTGTTGACCCCCTCAAAGAATTCAAGTAGATTGGTGAGGCATGATTTCCCTTTACACAAACCATGTTGACTCTTCCCCAACAAATCGTGTTCATCTACATGTCTGATAATTCTGTTCTTTACTATAGTTTCAACAAATTTGGTTCTGAAATTAGGCTTACCAGCCTGTAATTGCAAGGATTGCCTCTGGAGCCTTTTAAAAATATTGGCGTCACATTAGCTATCCTCCAGTCATCTCACACAGATTCTGGTTTAAATGATAGGTTAAAAACCACAGTTAGTAGTTCTGCAATTTCACATTTAAGTTCCTTCAGAACTCGGGTGAATACCATCTCGCCATGGTGACTTATTGCTGTTTAATATATCCATTTGCTCCAAAACCTCCTCTAACAACACCTCAATCTGGGACAGTTCCTCAGATTTGTCACCTAAAAAGAATGGCTCAAGTTTGTCTCCCTCACAGCCTCTGCCATGAAGACTGTTGCAAAGTATTCATTTAGTTTACTTTAGTTTCTCTGCAATGGCCTTATTCTCCTTGAGTGCTCTTTTAGCATCTCGATTATCTAGTGGCCCAACTGGTTGTTTAGCAAGCTTCCTGCTTCTGATGTACTTAAAAAATTTTTTGCTGTTGCTTTTTGAATCTTTGGCTAGCTGTTCTTTAATTTCTTTTTTTGGCTTTCCTAATTATGTTTTTTTTATACTTCACTTGCCAGAGTTTATGCTCCTTTCTATTTTCCTCAATAGGATTTAACTTCCACTTTTTACTCTGTTGGTTAGCCACGGTGGCACTTTTTCTGTCCTCTTACTAGGTTTTTAAATTTGGGGTACACATTTAAATTGAGCTTTGATTATGGTGTCTTTAAAAAGTTTCCATGCAGGGACTTCACTTTTGGCGCTGTACTTTTTAACTTCTATTTAACAGACTTCCTCATTTTTGTGTAGTTCCCCGCTCTGAAATTAAATGCTACTGGGGTGGGCTGCATTGGTGTTTTCCCCCCAGAGGGTTGTTAAATTTTATTATGTTATGGTCACTATTACTAAATGGTTCAACTATATTCACGTCTTGGTCCAGAACCTGTGCTCCACTTAGGACTAAATCAGAATTGCCTCTCCTCTTGTGAGTTCCAGGACTAGCTGATCCAAGAAGTAATAATTTAAAGTGTCAAGAAACTTTATCTCTGCATCGGCAAAAAGGGAGTATGGCAGAAAGGGATCTAGGGGTTATAGTGGACCACAAGCTAAATATGAGTCAACAGTGTGATGCTGTTGCAAAAAAAGCAAACATGATTCTGGGATGTATTAACAGGTGTGTTGTGAGCAAGACACAAGAAGTCATTCTTCCACTCTACTCTGCTCTGGTTAGGCCTCAGCTGGAGTATTGTGTCCAGTTCTGGGCACTGCATTTCAAGAAAGATGTGGAGAAATTGGAGAGGGTCCAGAGAAGAGCAACAAGAATGATTAAAGGTCT